AGGACCCCTCCCCTGCCTCTCCTGGGTAATGGTAAAATTTGTCAGTAATGAAATGATCTCTGCTCTTCTCTAACCAATGTGCATGCTCAGTTGAGCAATATGGCCCATGGGCCTCGAATTAAACATTTACAAATGAAATGATTCTAGAGGTACGTACATGTATAAAAATTTGATATTTATTTTATAGGGGACATGGCAGACATTGACAGACCTATTACACAGGTTGCCATAGTAACAGATCCTGCTAGATGTCCTCCAGGATTTACTCTGGTAATTATTTACAGGATTTACTCTGGTAATTATTTACAGGATTTACTCTGGTAATTATTTGTATTATCCTGGTAATTATTTATAGACATTTAAATCTGACATAAAGCCAGTTTTTAGCTGTACTGGTCAGAGACCAATATGAGTATAGCTTATGGGATAGTAAGGTAGCTGCCTGTCCATTCTGCATGACTGTGTAAACATTTTTCAAAATGCTACTCCTCCTACAGTTCTGGTATGATTTTGGTATAAATTGGCATAAAAGCAAGCAACACTAAGATACATAATTCAGTCCAAATTTTTTTGATTTCGATGAATGGTTTTGCCTTGGTAACTAAAAATAGAAATTTCTATTGAATACTTTCAAAAGGCAACTACTTCTACTGTTTTGGTCTGATTCAAAAATAATTTGGCACACAAGTAGACTTCAATATAAAATAGATTAGTCAGTGCATCAGTTTTTGATTTCATTGAATGGTGTTGCATTGGTTACCACAAATGGAAATTTCTTTGAAGTTTTAAATGCTACTCTTCCTACTGTCTTGGTCTGATTTCAGTATAACTTGACAGACTATACTAAGATACTTTATTTTGGTTTTTGATTTTGATCTTTCCCAGGTTACTTAAAAAAGAAATTTTGAAAAGTGCCTTCCACCAATAGTTTTAATCTTTTTGCAGTGAATCATGCCACAAAAAGTGACTAAACCAAAGACCATTATTCTATTTCTTGCTGTTGCATAGTTTCAAATGCAAGTGCTACTTTTCTTTCTTTTGTTATAAATACAAATTGGTAGAGCTACAGTCTCATCAGAAACTTCTGGTTAAAGTATTATACTATGACGTAATCATGTATTTTGAGAAATGTTCAGAGTACATTGTATTATTTTGAGAATTGAATGTAAGGTAGACAAGTTATAGATCGACCGTACCTATGATTATTTTAGATTGACCGTACCTACGATCGTAAAGAGGATGCTGATTTATGGAGAGACGGTCTCTTCGGAAGAAAAGTGGTGCGTTTCCTCTGTGTGGAGAAAATGCCACCCTCACCGGTAATTAAAGTGTTTTCTAAGTTCAAATTCTATATGAAAATTTAAATATAGAGTAAATATGCTTATTTATTCAGCATGTTTAAATTCATTGATCCTAGATCCTAAAAAAAACAGGAATGATATGCAAATACAATTCTGATCAGTTAGGGGCATGATGGAATCAAGTTATTTTTTAAAATAACTTGTTTAGGTTACATCACTTATTTATGACTATACATGTACAAAGAAGTAACTCATTTAAGTTAACTCTTAAAAAGTAGAATGCCTATCAGTTTTGCCAGAAAACATCAATATGTTGAGTTTTCTGCTGATTAAAGATGATATAAGGCTGAGAAAGTTGTAAATATATGTACTTCTTTTAATAAAATCATCAGACTTAATATCTCCTCAGCAGATAAGATGATATTTTAAAAAAAATCAAAGGAAAAATAATGACATTTCATGAACATTTCAGGGGTCAATTACACATCTTCCGCCAATTTTGCCAACACTGAGACTAATTTTCTAATAATCTTTGGACATTACTGTACAATCTCTAAGTCTTACATTTTTGTGCAAAGCTGTATATTTTTGTGCAAGAGTTCTGAAGTGAGGTGGGTTGAAGATGAAATAACAGAAATAAGTTATGATTTGTAGAATTTCAATGTGCTAGATTGTAAAGATAGATTACTTCTACTGTCATGAACGCTTTCCTTCTACTTGATAACCCAAGCACAGCATGAATAAAGCTTTTCAGATACCAGTAGGTTTACAATAATGAGTAGTAAAGTATCAGTAACTGGAATAAGTTACTGAAGAAAAGCATAATCAGGGAAAGATAACCCAAAATGTTGAGATTTAATAACTTAAACAAATCATTTAAAAAATAACTTGTTTCCATGATGCCCTTGACTGCTGATACTACCTTGAAGTTGATGAGTATAAAAATGTAATCTGTAGAAGTACATCATATACATGGACATGTAGGATTAGCATATGTTGTGTGAGATCAGAGTTAATAAGTCCTCCAGTTCATCTTGGATGAAGCTTTCTGTGTCTTTAATAACAGCAAATCAAATCTCACAAAGGTGGAATTTATTGTCCTTTTATACTCTCATACATGTAAATAGCAAATGACGAATTTTCTTTGAATTTTTTGGATGTTCATTAAATTACATTTTTCAACTAAAGCAAGAATCTTAGCTTTGTAATTGCATATTCTAGAGTATTTATCTAAATCTACAGTATTTGTCAGAGTTTGATTTCTTTCTCCAGGGTAGAGATATCAGTCTGTACAGAGTTTGATTTCTTATCAAACAACATATACAGTATTTGTCAATATCAATTTCTTTCCCCAGGGTAGGGATGTACTGGTGGATGTGACGGTGATTGGAGAGAGAGACGCCATACCAGCTGGATTTACATGTGTAGATTTCACCAGCGATACACGTAAGAACATTGCTACCAAAAACACTTTGTTTATTTTTAGATTAAAGAACTCCATTCTGTAACGGATAATATCTGACAGCAGACTAAAATTCATCTTCCCAAGTCAAGAGTTTCTGATCTGCTCCCCTCCACATCAACCCTTGACCGAAAAGACGAAATTTTGCAGGGTTTATTGTCACGCCATCTAGTGAGATTACACATTTTGAACTCTGCTGACCTCTGCCATCGGCCAATCAGAGTAAACAAATTCAACAAAGAATTCGAGATTATATTGGAAGTAGGTAATAAATTCAATTTAACTCAAAGAAAAAAGCTGAGACAAACCTTTAACTGGGCTATTTAATGAGAAAGACGTTATCATTGGGACTAAAACTGGCATGTTTTTCTTTTTGCGATTTTGTTTCAGGTTAAATAAAACAATGATTGTGATTGGTTTATGCAAACTAGCATGAGGCCAATCAGAGAACGTATTTCTTATCCCGTCAAACTTTGTCTATTCAATCAAGGGTTTATGTGGAGCGGAGTGGATCAGAGACTCTTGATTTGGAAAGATGTCTAAAATTTTGATGGAGAAATCTTTAATAATGATCTAAAATTGGGAAGTATTTGCAGACTTCAAGCATTAGATATTAGAGAGGTTTAGCAAGCTTACTTGTACGTGTACATGTACGTCTAAACTACATGTTAGAATTACAAGTACACGTTAACATTTTTTTTTCTTGTTTAGCAAAGTATAACCTGTACTTGTACTTGTACGTTTTTAAATGTAATAGTGGTTTACAATTTAAAATCATCCAAAAAGCAATGATTTTAATACGTAGATCACCATTTTTATGACCATATAACATAAATATATGCATGAACTTATGAGAAAAAGATTGTACAGATTTCTTATATTTTTATTCGGTCAAAGCCTGTTTCGAAAATCTAGATGTTGTGATTTTAACTCTCTATAAATTAATATTTTTCAATTACTCACGTACAATTCTTTTATCAGTTATTTGCATTAAATATTCAGGTTTTGGAAAAACGCACCCTTTTTGAAAAATAAGCAGTAGTTTAAGAATTATAAGATACAAGTTTGGACTTACGTGTACTTGGCAATCTACACGTGACCTGCGTGAAAGGATACGTGTAGAAATTCGTCATTAGCAAAAGTGATGACGTAATGCACAGATTTCTGGTGCTACACGTACACGTAGGCATACACGTTAGTTTGCTAAACCTCTCTATTTTCCCCAAAAATGACATCATAATTAGAGATATGACTTGAAGAAAATGATGTACATGTAATTCTAAAATTTCAATAATTTTGAAAGAAAATGCTTTACTGTGGTCTATCTTTGTGTGACTTATGAAGCTTTGGTGTCTATTTTTATTTTATGTATATCTTTTAAAAGGAAAATATCTGAGCACAGATCGCACTGGCATATAATATGTAGAATGATAATAATTATGTATGTGAATATAGTACTTAAACAAGTTTACGCTCTGTGAATACTAGCTCATGCAATTTTTGGAAATTTTGGCAAAAGTTTATTAAATGTTGCAGGTGAAAAGGCTGTCAAAAAAAAGATGCTTTGTGTCCGTTATATGTCCAGTGACTTGACCAATGATGCCATATGTGAACTAATCCTCCTAAGCAAAGGAGTGAGACGCCCCCCTAATGGTTATACACTGGTGGGGTAAGAATTCAGATAATGAGCTAAGAAATTGTTATGAAAAGTTAAATAGTTCTCTTACTGTATAGGCTGAAAAGGCCAGTGCTTGATGTACCTTGGTATGTAGAGTTAGGCCAGTGCTTGATGCATCTTGATTTGTAGGGTTGCATGAAGACCTCAGTGTTTGGGAAATCTGATTAACCTTAGGGAAACTCATGTAAAAGCTAGTGGCCATTGAATAAAATTTTAACTTGTTCACTTCAACTTGTTCAGTTATTGTAGTTTGGCAATTAATCACACTGGTTTTAATTTCAATACATCCACAATTTTTCATTTTATGCTATCATTATTTTTAAAAAAGTTTCCTTGGAATTGAAACAATTTTTAGCTCACCTGAGCTGAAAGCAAAAGTGAGCTATTCTGATCACAATTTGTCTTTAGTCCGTCTGTCTGTCCATCTGTAAATTTTTCACATTTTCAACTTCCTCTCCAGAACCACTTGGCCAATTTCAACCAAACTTGCAACAAATCATCCTTAGGTGAAGGGAATTTAAGTATTTACAAATAAAGGGCTATGCCCTTATTCAAGGGGAGATAATTAAGAAATAGTGAAAATTTGGTGGCATGTTTTAAAAATCTCAAGAACCACTGGGTAGGGAAAGATGAAACTAATGTGGAAGCATCCTCAGGTAGTGTAAATTCAAGTTTGATCAAATCATGCCCCCGTGGGGGTAGGGTGGATCCACAGTGGACGACTAAGGAATATAATATAGGAAAAATCTTTAAAAAATCTACTTCTCAAGAACAACAAAGCCTTGATTGGACATATTTATATGGAAGCATCATCAGGTAGTGTTTATTCAAGTTTGTTCAAATCATGACCCCCGGGTGTAGGTTGGGGTCACAATGGATGACCAAATTTTTACATATGAATACGTAGGAAAAATCTTTAAAAAATCTTCTTCTCAAAAACAACAAAGCCATGATTGGTCATATTTCTATGGAAGCCATGATTGGTCATTTTTATAAGGAAGCATCCTCAGGTATTTTTATTCAAGTTTTTTTTCAAATCATGACCCCCGGGGATAGGGTGGGGCAAAAATGATAGTTCAAACTTAAAGGGAAAAAAGCCACAGTAAGTCAAAGAAATTATGTAAACATTCTTTTTAGATTCAAGTTAATTCAAATCATCCCCCTTTTGCCTTTTAGGGGTAGGTTGGGACCACATGCATTTAAGCTTTTCAAAACTGGATTGATTTTTGCTTTTTTTTTTAGTCACAGTGCTCAGGTGAGCGATTTGGCCCATGGGCCTCTTGTTAGTATATGTATGGTTAAACTACATGTATGTGTACTACTTGAGGAGTGTTTCCATGAAAAGTTTTAATCATGATTAACTATGGTATATTTGAACAATTGCACAATTTCTATGATTTGTTTTAAAAAGTTCTATTTAGGATTGGAATTATGTCTGACAATAACAACGAAATGCTCTGCTTTGAGCTGAATACATGTACTTACTTGAGGAATTCAGCAATTCAAGCATATTATATCTCTTATTACTTTATACTTTTTTTAACCAGAGAGCTGAATTACATGGGTCTGTGTTATAAAATGTCCAGCTTTCGTAAACCTGGGGTTCAGATGGATGCCCACCAAGGCCAGTCCAGTGAGCCCACCTTCCACACACAGGGCTACTCTACAGCCCAATCCACATCAATGAACATGTAAGTATTTATCACTCAGATGTACTCCATGTTACCTACTGGGCTATTCCACAACCAAACTCACAAAAAGTAAATAACAGGATTTTGCTATCTTACAGCTAATTAAAGTACACTTATTTTTTTCTGATATTTTCAGGTCAGGTCTGGGTTCTAATTTACCGTACAACCCGACTCCATATAAGAATGGTCCATTGGAGAGAGGGACAAGTTTTGCAGAGACAGCAAATACCCTACAAGGTACCCCATCAGTGACAGTCATTTTATTTCTTACAACTAACTTATATGTTGTATATGTTTTAAAATTTTATTTTTGATTTTCAATTAATTTGATATTTTGATTTTTTAAGTGTTTCTTTGATGTTAGAGATGAGTTTCATGTTTTAAAGTGCACTTGTCAACATTCTGTTCTATAGGCCAGCAGGCAGTTTCAGGTTGTTAGTCACTCTCTAGTTTAACATCTGGCTGATGCGTGGCCTTCATTTATATATACAACTTCTCAATGCTCAGGCTGTCTTTATTTATTGCTTTACTAAATGTTTCTTTGACCTTCAAACTGTTGTTTTGTGTACATGTATGTTTACACATTTTCTCATAAATCAAAACTTATTGAATTTACATTTTAACTAAATTGAAAGCAGTATTTCTGGCACAGTACCAGGTTATTAATCAAAAACTTTATAAATTTGCCCTAACTTTAACATGTTAACATAGTAAACATAGTAAACATGTCCTAACATAAACAAAATATTGTCTTTGCACATTAATAATACAAAAAAATTAGTTTCTGAGATAATAATATGCATATTTTACATATATTTAATCCAAAAATGCAGTCTGCTTTGATTTTGGAATACATGTTGGGTTATGAAATTTTTTTTTTTATGCAATTGCTTTCTATCCAGCTTGTGATTAGTTAGTGAGCTGGCTGTAAATTTCTGAACAGCTGGCTTGAGCTGGGGGTAAATAGCATGATGTCAATCACATTGCATAGTATCGACATCACAAAAAGCAAATAACATTGTAGCACATAGTAAATCATAGTCTGAAATACCTCATTGATTGGACCTTTTACCCTGAGTTAGAGACTACCAGATAGTCCAGTGAAGCCCACAAGGAATTGATATGGTCCTTCAGCATAAAACCCAGGTTCAGGAGTGTTCTGCTTCATTTACATTAACCGAATCTAAAAAAAAGTTTCAAACGACAAGTAGTCACTAACAATTTTATTTACAATTTTTTAAATAGATGTTAAAACTTTCCTGATGTCATATTTTCTTTTGTCTGTTACTTTTCAAGCTTTAGATAGTTTTGATTATGGGGATTTAGTGAAGCTTTAAAACAATACATACTTTCTGTCAATCAATATTTCTTGATGTAATATACAAACTGATTCTTTCAGCATACTAAAATCTTCAAATCAGTTAAAAAGTCAAAGTGTCTTAATTATACATTGGTACAGAGTGTACAAAGGTTGTTCGAAAAGGTCGTGGACGATGTCAATCTTCGTTACACTACTTTTCAAGAAATTTAAAATAAGCACTATAAAATGTGTAAAAATATTTGTTTTGTTCATATGTGAAGCTTCATTCCATTTGATTTAACAGAAATCGATTTACTTCATTTTATGATCAACATGTTTTATGACAGCAGAGCACACCAATGGCAATGTAACGTCAAAAATAGTGTCAAGAATTTCTCAAAAATCCTATCCCTATACATTTCACACAGTATATAATCCACTACCTACTCATTAAAAACCCTTTTCTATCACTTGACATTTAGTTTTAAACAATGTTTCTTGTTGTCTAGTTTCCTTTGTCAGTGTTGTAATTTCCTTTATCACTTAACTGTGCTTTCACAAGATCATCAACTCTGATGCGCCTATGTCTTTCCAACTTTAAAAAGTTAACAGTTTCTTCACAGATTGTCTTCATCCGCTACAGAGTCTCAGTCACTCAAATACAGCCTCTACCATGTACACACATATGTTTGACCTACCTTTGACATATTTTTTATTCCTCCAATATTTATAGTTTTTATTTAGGATTTTTTCCAAGTAAAACACAAAAGAATATGAATCGATGTTATAATTCTTAATTTGAACATTTAGAATCTTTTTCGTTTTTGCTCCAATTTTACAGAGAATATGACTACAGACATAAGTTAGTGCATTGTTTGTAAATTACTAAATTTTGACCTGCTCTGCGATTTAATTTTTTCAATTTTTTATATTGGGATAAGTTTAAAATCAAATGTGATATTTTAAAAATTTTTATACAAATCATTTGAAAATATTGTTAAAATATTTCATATTAACATATTACATTAAATAAACAAGATATGAGAGAAGTCCACGACCTTTTCCACCAGCCCTCAGATTGTTAATGAAGGCACATGTCATGTCACTTTCTGAAGAAGAGTATATGTATTAAAGGAATATGTTTTACTTTTTTAATTAAAAAAAATCCCCTGGTAATCAAGAGGAATACACTACTTGATAATATGAATCAATTTTATAAGTCAAGAAAGAAAAGTATGTAATACAATCTGATGTTGAAAATCCCATTTTAAAAAGCCTTTTTATACACAAAAAGGATGTGAACTTGCATGCTATAAACATAGTGCATTGACGAGGAAGATTGATTAATTGTAATATTATATCTTATTTAAATTGCTTTATTTTTTTCTATATTGTAGCCTTACAAGGTCTACCATTTGAACTTAATCGTGCCTTGTTTAATGAGGATTTAAATGTAAGTTACATCATGTATTACATTTTCAATGGTAAAATACTGTCAAATATTTTCTGAGTGTTGATTTTAAAATTTTAAATTTGGAAAGTTAAACTCTCTTCATTATTTACCAAACAGTATGTTTATTTTAGTTTCCAAATTGAATTTACTAGCATATTCAGATTTTTATTGATAATTATTCAATGTTTTCAGGTAACAATCCCCAAGATCCCATACAAATCTATAATGGATATAGAAAATCAGGTAAGTGCCATTAGATACATCCAATTTCACAGATTTTTAGACCATCTGTTGCAGTTTATAGCTATGATTTCTGTGATAAACCAACTACTCATATTTGCAGTTCCTGTATTACTCCATTTCTTTGATAAATGATATACTGTAATTTGCATTATACAACGTACATGAGGAACTATAATTTCTGTGATACATGATATTACATTTACTAGTATATGTTTATACTTAAACTATGATTTATAATGATACTTGATATACCATAATTTATATTTCTAGTTTAGAATGTTTAGCTTTGGCTTCTATGATACATGATTTACCATATATTTGCAGTGTAACTTTGATTTTTTATGATACATGATATACTGTTTATTTGCAGTATATCTATGATTTCTTGCTACATGATATACCTTTTATTTGCAATAAGCTATGATTTCTATGATATATGTGTCTTTCAGTTTTAGTAATGATTTAATATCTACTTATATTTATTTATAGTATAGCTATGATTTCTATTATATATGTCCATTTCAGTTTTAATAAGGATTATCTACTTATATTTATTTACAGTATAGCTATGATTTCTCAGTGGAAAGGTCTGCTGCTGCTAGGGTTCCGTAGGATCAATCTGGAAATTTCTTCCAAGCCGTGGAAATCAGCTGGACTGAGTTTGTTACATGTTACCTGAAGAATCAACAGACAAGGAATTATTATGATATATTATCATGATCAAGGAATACAGTGTATTAAACTGGTACAATTGTAGCAGAAATATTCATACAAAAAATGACTGAGATACCTGTTTATTTTACCTATCTTTATGTATTGTATAGGAAAAATTAAATGGTGACATGTGAATTATGGCATGTCAGTGGGTGACTTTTCCAAACATTCAGAAGTTATACTCCACAATTTGAAATTTAAGCTAGAATTTAAATGTGTACAAATAAATCTACTTTTCATGTCATTTTTTCGTTCATAGCCCACTTACTTTTAATGTGCTCAATTTGCATTGTTATCATAACTATAGAGAGAATTCAGATGAAGAAACCATAGAATTTATTGCTTTTACTTAGTAAGACTAATCTGTGACTACATTAAAATTTGTCATATAAATGTAGTTTATATGCTTGTTATTGTGAAAAGATACATGGCTGTCTGTGATAGAGAGAGAGGTTTATGTTTGACTATATATTGCTCAGAGCCAGACATTAAATATACATGCATTGTATACCTAGTTAACTCAATATGTTAAAGCGCACGGTCAGATAAAGAGTTTGTTGATTTTGTGATTTTTTTTTGTCATGCCATTCTTGTTTTAGGCAATGTTGTCATACTTTTCTTTTTATGCCTCATAAATATATTGTATTAAATTTTTAATGATGACTGGTGTCATAGACTTGCTTTGTTTTATTTGAATGAAATGAGCTTTATGAAGAGTAGACAGTCAGGCCAGTTTGAGCTCAACAAGAAGCATCGTCTCATGGGGGATGCAGTATTTAATTAAGGGCAACGACAAAATAGTTATTTAATGAAGTCAAGATTAGTACAACGTCTACTGGCCACAATGAGGGGGGTGATTATGAGGATGCCACCTCCCCCTGAATTCGTTTCAAATTATAACTTTGCTAAGCCTTGATATATTCTCAGGTAATAAATAGTTTTGTAATTAGTTATGAGCTTGATTACCACCTTGATATAATGTAAGTTGAAGAGACAGCGCCTCTTCTCAATCACATAAGGAAAGTAACAGAGATATTCATACAAACTTGCTCAGAAAGTTATAAAGCATGATCTAATCATAAATTCTGAGAAAGTGGGGGCATATTGACCCAGTTCTTTCCGAGATGAGGTTTTTGGATGTCCTTAAATTATATGTTCGTTAAATACTTACTATTATTATCTATTTATCCCCTCTTGGAAAAGAAGTGGCATATAAAACTAAATTCCCCCTTACCAAAGGACGCATTGCATCATATTTGATTGAAATTCAGGCTCAGTGCATGGTTCTTGATCAAAATGTAAAAAGGTAGTACGTGAGACATTCGGAGACAATAAGCAGACAGATTAACTGAAGCTGGGTCCACTCTCATGAAAAAGATCCATGTTAGCCATTAGCTCAGGTGAGCTAAGTAGCACACAGAATTGAAAATTCATAAATTGTCTTTTCCTACAGTTAACTGGAATAATTGGATTCTTCGTAAAGATAAAATTTCCTCCTTTCCTTTTCGTTTCTTGTATAAAAAATGATTAATTTATATATTTTTTCTAGTGTTTTCCGAAAAGTACATGTATTCAGAAATAGAAATTTAAGAAGACGGACAACAGGTGGTCAATGAAAATTTAATTCAGGTGAGCTAAATGGACTCCTGTCGAATGTGGTAGTGTAAGATACACGGCTTCCTACTAGCTTGGGCTAGTGGGTTAATTCTTTAGCTCAATCGGTTGAGCACTTGACTGGCAAGCCAGAGCCCCGGGTTCAAAACTGTCTGTTACATTTGTCGCCAAGGTAGGGACCCGAGTGTTCTTTGGCAGGTGAGAGTGGTTGTCCTTAGAACTTCTCCCCACAGGTGTCGGCACTCCGAAAGAGATGAGAATATCTCAATCTCTGGAGGGGGACAATGTGGTAGTGTAACCTACTAGCGTGGGTCAGTGGGTTAACTCTTCAGCTCTATCGGTTGACTCAGTAGAGCACTGGACTCGCAAGCCAGAGCCCCGGGTTCAATCCCCAGCAGAAGCTCAAAATTGTCTCTGTTACACGAGCAATTTGCCGTCGCCAACACCGTACACTTCTTTTATTCGCGATACGTCCTCGAGAAAATTATATTTGAGAATGCATTTATAAATCTGTTAGAAATGGAAAGTCATGAAGTCCGCAGATTCAAGGTCAGAATGAGATAGTTATTGGTATATAAAGGAAGGGATTGTCACAAGGAATAAAACTTTGAAATATAAAAACCCTAGTACTATGTACTATAACTGTTCAAAAGTTCTGCTCAAGTTTAAGTTTTTTAGTGGGTCAAACTCTAAAATGTAGGCCACACCCTGAGGTCAAGGTCAAACGGTCAAATATATTGGTCCTCAAAGAAATATCTTGTCACAAAGAATACACATTTTATATATATTTGAAAGCCTTGGCACCAACCGTTCAAAAGTTATGGACATGAAAGCTTGTAAACAGACGGACAGGGCAAAACTACTTGCCCCGAGTGTTCGATTACAGAGCATAAACAAGATATGTGTGGGTGTGTTAAACACTGAGCCCCCTGTATGGCAACTTATAGCAAGGATTGAAGTTTCTCAAATGCAAGTCCAAGGTCAAGGTAGAAATGTCAATGTTGTTGGTATCCCAGGAAGGCCTTGTCACAAGGAAAACACATGTGAAACATGAAAGCCTTATTATTATTAACTATTCAAAAGTTGTGGCCAAGGTTAAAGCAAAGTTTTTTAAAAGTGGGTCAGGCCCTAAGGTCAAGGTCAAAAATATTTATACCCAATGAAAGGTATTCTCACATTGCATATACATGTAAAGTTCGAAAGCCTTAGCACCAAATGTTCTTGCCAAGGATAAAGTTTGGAATTTGTCGCAAGGAAAACACCTGTGAAATATGAAAGCCCTAGTCCCACCAAGTTATGGAAAAGGTTAAAATTTTGCCGACAAACAGACGGATACACCCGAATCCTCGATTACGGGGGCATACAAAAGGAAAATTGTCCAAACTCAAAAATCCCACCTCGTATCGCGGGAAAGTATGTGTGTGTGTGGGGGGGGGGGGAGGGTTAGATCCCTTTTTTCAAAACCAACTTTTATTAATAGATTGCCACATTTCCTTGACTTGGATATGCTGCAACAAAAAGTGGTGGAGTTCCTTCCTCCGCTCGATAGTACTACGCCCCTGAATAGTGATCCAGATCAAGCTATTACACGTAGCACCTTGGAAAGGGGGATTTAGTAATATAGGAAAAGGTCAAATGTAGAAGGTAGTGTCAGGTAATGCTGTGAACACTCGTAGTGTTTAGAATTATTGTCTGTAAAGAGTTGTAATAACTTAATAAACTGTCATTGATTTGTCTTGTTTTACTAGCTGGTGCCACACAAATTCAGTTAAAGAGGATGCTATGTTTATTCTTGAAAACCCCACTTTCTCATTTGATGTATTTGGACATAGAAAATACTGACATAATCAGTCCATGTCTGTAATGTATGCGTTCCTGATTACGGCTTCGACTGGTCCTTATATCTGTGAACTTAGCCTTTATAAGGGTTATCTATATATACAAAATTAAACCGGAGGTCGGACAAGGGGCGGAGGAGAGAGAAGCGAAAAGCTGAAGATAAGAAACATTGATTATTTCCATAAAATCCTCTAAACAATCAGAATTGTGGTGAGGGCAAATTACTGGTCACTACCGCCTTGCTCTCAGTAATGATGCGGAAAATGGAGAAATCCCTAGTCTAAGACAAAGTATGTGTACATGTATTTTAAAACAATGGACCTGCAATTGATCGGAAACATGTCAATCAAAAATACAACCCAACGAAAGGTTGCATTTTGAACAGTGTAAGCATGATCATTATAACGGCCATAGAAATTTCGAACTGCTAGCTTCAAACGGAATTGTTGAAAGCTCTGTAACGTAAACTTATTTGTCAATAGCCATACACAGAACCGAACCACAATGAAGACATATTAAAACCATTGCAAATGACAATGTAATAGCCATACCATTTTGCGTACAGTTTTGTTATCAGCTTGCCATTTACGTCTACAGTTAATAAAAAAAACATCAGATCTCTTTTTTCAAATTTAGTTTAGATCACTTGGATATAGTATGTATCGAACTGCGTGTGAATAAAAACACTCGTAATCTTTATGTTAAAATTAGTCAGTTCTTCAAAGACCATGCAAACAAAAGTTTTTGTATAATATATTTTTTCTATAAATTCGATCTTGCCCCATAGGAATATGAAAAAAGGGTCGAACAATAAAAGGCTAAAACTAGTGCCTATTGTAACTCAAAGATTTTCAAGAGACTTTGTCTCCAAAGACAAGTTGTCAACGAACAACTCCAGTATCTTTTGAAAATCTGAAGAAAAAAAATTGAAAAGTTCTTTTGTATGTAGAATCAGAATATTTTTTTTAGCAATTAATAAAATTGTGATTGAAGAAACAGATCTAAGCCTACTTCGTCTTTGATGTCAAAAAAGCTTGGTGTTAAATTCACCTAGAGAAACCCGGCTGAATAAAGCGGTGAAAAGTCAAAGACCTTGGGCGCACTTGATTGGTACCTTTCTAGAAGCAGAGGAGAATGTCAGAAAATCGAGCGTTAAGAATGGCATTGAATACGGCAGAATATCAACTGCAATGTTCTGCAATTACCGCAGTTGTTTTTTTTTTAAATATAGAATTTGATTCCTTTAATTTAAAGCATTAATTAGATGTCTGTTCGAAAGGGCAACTTGGTGACATGAGTGGAGAATATATATTTATTATTATAGTATGGGGAATTTTTTTTATTCATGTAGGGAAAGGTTTAAAACATCAAGTGCCTGAGACAGAAGAGCATTAAACGGTAAAAAAAAAAATATTATATTGTTATTAAAAGTTTGTCATAAAATAAAAACGTTTATGATCAAATCAGGGACCTCTATACATGTCAAATCTTCACCACATATAACATGGTAAATGAAACTGTGTTCAATGGTTGTTGTTACTGCAATTACACAACAGAATCGAAATATTGCTACTTAAGAGAATTTTCCTTCAAACATTATAAAAATGTTTTTTTGCAACAGCAATTTGCTTTTAGTTTGGTTTATTTAATTTACAATAATAAAAATCCTCAAAGTTTTCACCCAGCCGCTCGACGCCATACTAGAATGCTATCCTCCCCTTTTTGATATGGAAGGCTGAGAAGGCCCTCTAAGTCTAACCTACCAAACCAATCAAGCGGACAAAATGCTTATTCTGGAATGAGAAGTTCCAATCGAGTGCGCCTAAGCTTATAAATTTTCGAAGAGATCTGTGGGGTTTTTGAGAGGAGTAGGAAGGAGGACCACACTCACTGGAAAAAAATGTAGAGCTTTGATTGGTTAATTTGGTATCATCTATTCATTGTGACAGTGAAATTATATTTCTAGAAATGTGGTAACCTGAATATTTCTTTATTTATACAAATCAATTTCTTGTTTCCCAAATATTGTTTTTTTTTCAAAGGAGTACATGTTTAATTATGTGTATTTTATTTTTTATATGAATATATGTTTATTCACCAATCAAGGGCCCTCGGGGGGCATGAACAAATTATTACAATATGATTACACTGATTACAATTCTACATTATAGGTGTATAATGTAATATGACTAGTGATTAAGTTTGACATTGAGAAGTGCATCACCACATGATGTATCATCATGAAAATGTAGGATTTGTTACATATTCACAGTACAGTCTCACACTGGATAAAAAGTATAGAAAACCATAGATTGATAAAAAAAACAACAACAATTAAATAAAAATAATAAATATAAGATAAATAAAAAAAAAATCTTGTAATGGCAGTACTCTGATATATAACTAGTGCATCTTGAATACAAAGGGCACCAGGGGATGATACCTCTACACAGCCAGACTGGCAAACCTGTACCCTAAGTTTTGAAGACGGTCATTCAAAAAAAAAATCATTTAAGTATTAACAGAAATAATAATTTCAATTAATAAGTACTTAGCATATAATTATAAACTTGATGCAAAGTAATCTCTTGGAGTTAGTTCAATAGATATTTAACATTCTAATCTGAATATATGCATACCCACATACACAAACACACACTTACTGTTACACATATCCATGCATACAAAAATAATAATTTACATACAAATATATGTATTTATATAAACTAATGGTACTATCATGTATAAATGTAAATCTGTGATCTTGAAGGTAGCATACATGTAAAGAAAAGGTAACTTGGACACAGAGGGTACCAGGGGACGATGCCTCTGCACAGTCGATTATACTGGCAAGCCCGTACTCAAAGTATTCAAGACACCCCTTCTGACTGATTCTGTACAAATTTACAAAAAAAAAAAAAAAAAAAAAAACAAGATGTGTTTGTGAAACACATACACAAACACACACAAGGTCATTGACATTGGTGTTGTTTGTAAGAACTTAATTAGTGGGGTATGCATACTAAATATGAAGTCCCTATCTCCTACGGTTCAAAAGTTATGGCAAAAAGTGGAAAAAGCTATTTCTAGCATATAGGTCACAGTCAAGGTCACATGGTCATTGACCTTGGTGTTGTTTGAAAGAACTTTATTAGTGGAGTATGGATACTAAATATGAAGTCCCTATCTCCTATGGTTCAAAAGTTATGGCAAAAAGTGCTATTTTTAGCATATACCGTAGGTCACAGTCAAGGTCACAAGGTCATTGACCTTGATGTCATTTGAGGGAACTTTATTAGTGGAGTATGCATACCAAATATGAAGTTTCTATCTCTTATGTTTCAAAAGTTATGACAAACAGTTGAAAAAGCTATTTTTAGCATATAGGTCACAGTCAAGGTCACAAGGTCATTGACCTTGATGTCATTTGAAAGTCCTTTATTAGAGAAGTATGCATACTAAATATGAAGTCCCTATCTCCTATGGTTCAAAAGTTATGGCAGAAAGTGGAAAAAGCTATTTTTAGCATATAGGTCACAGTCAAGGTCAAAGGTCATTTACCTTGATGTCATTTGAAAGAACTTTATTAGTGGAGTATGCATACCAAATATGAAGTCTTTATCTCTTATGGTTCAAAAGTTATGACAAACAGTTGAAAAGCTATGTTTAGCATATAGGTCACAGTCAAGGTCTCAAGGTCATTGACCTTGATGTCATTTGAAAGAACTTTATTAGAGGAGTATGCATACTAAATACGAAGTCTCTATCTCTTACGGTTCAAAAGATATGACAAACAGTTGAAAAAGCTATTTTTAGCATATAGGTCACAGTCAAGGTCACAAGGTCATTGACCTTGATGTCATTTGAAAGAACTTTATTAGAGGAGTATGAAATATGAAGTCTCTACCTTTTACGGTTCAAAAGTTTTGGCGAAGGTTAAAGTTGACAACAGACAGACAGACAAACAGACAAACAGATAAACAGACAAACAGACAGGACAAAAACAATATGCTCCCCGAAAAAATTCGGGCGCATAAAAAACTTTCATAGGTTTACTAATACTTTTCATACTTCAGCTATGTATGATGACATGCTACCAAATAAATGAGGATGATGTCAACTGACACCTATTTCATATAGGGTGGAAGAAATGGAGAGTTGTCTATTTGAACTGTTCCTCGTCCCATATTATGATTTATCTGAGGATATCTGACTATATACTTGGTTGCAGAATATATAATTATAAAAGTTCACTGACAGTTAACATGGAATGGTATGCGCACGACGTTAACCGGAGCAATCTAGTGTAACCGGTTAAAAAAGTTCGGGCTCGGAGTACATGCTTTAATCTACACAACGTGTTGGTGTGTTTGGAGGGAGACGGCGGTGGGCATTGTTTGAGAGAAACGTGTGGACACGAAACTTCCCGTGGATTTTCCCTCTCGATCATTTATGTGGTTTTAAGGGTTGTTATACATTAATATAAACTGATTTACATTAATTGACTGAACATGGCCGAATTAAAGGATTATAAAAAAGTGAATGAATCTGAGCCAGTGGATCACGCATCAGACCAGTCGTCAGATGCGAAGGAGGACGAAACAGTATACTTAAAACCGAAGATCTCGCTACTTAACGGAGTCACTGTAATTGTGGGCAGTATCGTGGGGTCAGGTATCTTCGTCAGCCCCAGGGGTGTCTTGGCGGGTTGCGGGAGTGTTGGACTCTCCCTGATAGTATGGTTACTATGCGGGTTATATTCTATGATCGGGGCATATTGTTATGCGGAACTCGGTACTATGATAACAAAATCAGGAGCTGATTATGCCTACTTGTATGAAGCTTTTGGTCCATTTGTTGCGTTTCTTCGTCTGTGGATAGAATGTATGATTGTCAGACCATGCTCCCAGGCCATTGTTGCCCTCACGTTTGCCTATTATGTGATAGAGCCCCTGTTTCCGACCTGTGACCAGCCTGATATAGCAGTAAGACTTCTGGCTGCTGTCTGTATTCGTAAGTAAACTCTTTCCTTAACCTTTATTTCCCCATATGCAACGTGTGCATGTACGTAAGCGGACATTACGAGAATGACCTTGACATTGTGATGATGCAATGTTTACTATAATTATGTTTCGTGAATTTATGACAGAAGTGAGAATAATATGATCACTCTCATGTTCTACAGTCTTCGTTACTTAACAAGGAAGATAAAAGTATTGAATTCCAAATTTAAATCCCATAGAGACACTTCTTCTAGTAATCGGTCAGCCATGTAACACACATGAGTTCGTGTATTGACTCAACAGAGAAAGATTGCATCATCATGTTGTATTTAATCAATCCACATTCCACAGAGTTCATTTGTCATTTTAATTTTTCTTTAGTTTTTTTAATTTTTACCACACAATATTACATGACTAGCATTATTATTATTATAATATTTTATATTACTATAAATGTTTTTAATTCAGTAGCACACTTTAGGCCGGAATTAAAAATATCTTTGTTTCCCCTAACCCGACCCTGAATTCTCAAGGCGGGTCGGTAGGTAGGTTAACAATTTTATTTTATGACAGCAGCTTTGAAAATACGTTCTAAAATTTAATAGAAAAAAACTTTTTAATAGTAAGAGAAGTACAAAAGAAAGCGATTTGTCAACAAAATGTTAGGTATCAAACATATGCTGTTAAACATGTTAAAGGAAAATTCATGATTAATTAATTTACAGCTGTTATTTAGTTGAACTTGTGAGATATCTCACGCCAGAGTACATTTATATAGATCGAATAGATAAAGACAGGATTCTCAAATATGCAAAGACCGGACATCCGAGTATATTTTTTCAAACCTTCAATCAGCCCCCAGTGCTTATAGACAATCAATGTACTTTTTGAGGGCCATCAGATTTGCAGTGTTTCTAGAGCATTTTGCTTTAGAGTTAAGAAGTAAGTGTGTAATTTTAAGTCGCATGTCCAAATACCAATAAGGAACGTTGAAAACAGTCTTTCAAATGGGACCATAAAAACTTATGTCCAGTCTCGCAAAAGATGCTGGCTCAAAAAAGATCCCTTACTGCTTATTGGCAAAAAAGTGCTGAGTACTTTTAAATTTGGAGCAATGGGGAAATGTTCAAATGTCGTCCAAACAAATCTCGAAGGGGTTAAAAGCAAAGAAACAACCAATCTTCGAGGGCGTAATTAAAGAAAAATACACTGGGCGTCTCAGGAAGCTGAATCATGATTTCAAACTATTTGTAAAGAGTAGTTAAACAATATTTAATTGAACCAAACCGAATTTACAAATGATAAAAATGCTACATGTATATACAATGTCATAGTCACGAAGTTTAACCCATAATAAATTAAGGCATTAAAGAAAGAAAATCTGAATTATATTTATCAGGATGAATATGCAGACATATTTACAACAACTCCTATGGTTCCGTAATGGCATATAGTAAACATAGGAACATAGATGAACTGGTTATTAGATCAAAACTCAAATTAAATAAAATGCAGTGAAATTGAATGATGTGTTCACTAGGTGGGCCCCTCATCTGCTCATTAGGCGGGCCTTACATGTACCATGTATTATGTACCTTAAATTCAACACAGGTTTGTTTGATGTTTACCGTCCCTTTCGAAAATTTATTCACTCACATGGAGACGCCAAGATACTCCGAAACACTCTTAATTAGTCGTGGTAAATTTTATCATCAAATTGTTTCAAGAGTGAAGAATTCTAGTTAGCTAAAGGCATAAGATTGAGACGCCGCCGTTGTTTTATTAAGAACTTTTTCTCAGTAATCACATCTTGGTGCCATTTTCTTCAACAAATCACAGTAGAACAATGTCGGCCGTTCTGCTAAAAACTGATTTTGATGAAATTGTATTTTATGAAACTTAGTTAACAATAAAAAAAAATTATTGAATCTTCTTATTTAAAAAATCTTGTCAGTCGGTGCGATTTAATTGGGTCGGTCGCGTTAGGGGAAACAAAGGTATTTTTTATTTTGGCCTTAACGTTTATTTGTATTTCTGTCCTTTAAATCTTGGCAGTGAAAAAAAATATTTGAGCTGCATGAGCTCATTCCTTTGATAGACATATTGTTTATATGATTTTTTAGAGTTCATTTTTTATATGTAAACAAATTTTAATATAGGATTATACTTCTAAAGGTCTAAGTAACTAGTCTGTTTTTGCTTGCCAGTAATTAATTAAAAGCTCCCCAGATCTTTTAATACATGCTACACTGACTGATCTATACATTGCCAGAAATTAGGTTTAATGTTATGTGTAACACTCATGACGATGTCTTATCCAGTTAACAGGTTTAAAGCATTTTTATTCATACATGAAATTTAGCCATAGCTAAAGTATAGAATACATCAATGATAATGTTTATTTTGAATGAATCTCTTTTCCTATTAGAAAGTTGCCACATTGGGTTTGCGATAGAATAAGGATCATAGGTGAAATGTTTCATTCAATTGATTCCGAAGTTATTGTTATCTATCTCCTTTTAAAATTGATGAGGGATGTATGTACATCAGTAATAAGATTATGGATATTTGCTTGCTGAATAACATTCCTTGCTTAGTAACAAAGCCATGGGATCAGATCCATTTCTTTCTGTGAGGGTTAAGTATGGGTCAGCTTGACAACTCTCTTTACTCTTTGTGACCTTAATGAGGACACACAGATGACTTCTGGTCAGTGACCAATCATACCTGTGGGGCTACCTGACTCAGGTGATGTCCTAGGCCTGGTAGAATGATGGGGGAACTGACAAATGGTCAGTTATAGGGACTGGGTCAGAGAGTGTAAAGAGGGGGACCTTGAAAAAATTATACAATATGGTAAAAGAAGAAATTAGGGTCAAGATGTTATTTATGTATCCTTCTCATGGTATGTGATAACAAGGTTTTAAATGAGCTTTATTTCGAGGTTGAAGGTCAGATAATAAAATTTTGTTTCTTTTAATGTATTACACTTCTTGTTTTAAATCAAATTTCCTCCCCTAAAAACTCTTAAGATCAAGTTAATTAAGTTAATTTTTTGAGATATCCTGATTGAAGTAGAGGCCGCTATTGATGTACAATACATTTAGCTTCTTTCTATACAAACACATCAACACCACATCTGTTTCAGTAAATGTAACAAAGGTAGTTCACAGGAGATTTATTTGTAGGGATACCAGACAGTGGTTTTCTCGTTAGGAACCTGCCACACCAGGATGTAATAATTAACTTCCATCCTGTTGTTTCTTTTCCTTAACCAATGAAAATTGAATAAAAAGGAAAAGAATGTTCAAGGACTTTTCTTGTTGTAATATGGGTTCAACAATGATGTGCTGCATGTTTTATGTAATTTTAAAAAAGAAAATAAAAAATTGACTTAATGAGTATTAACTTGACTGAAATGCCTAGTTTCCTTACCAATGTAAATATATTTTACCAAGGTTTTTTTTTTCTTTTTCAGTATTATTGACAGCTGTAAACTGTGCCAGTGTGAAATGGGCGACTCGGGTCCAAGATGTGTTCACCTACGCCAAAATGTTGGCCCTGGCCCTCATCATCATTACAGGATTTGTCCAGTTAGGGCGAGGTAAGAACTCTGTCACAGGGCAATAAATACTCTCATATAGGGCAAGGTAGGAACTCTGTCATAGGGCAATAAATACTCTCATATAGGGCAATAAGATCTCTCTTGTAGGGCAATAAATACTCTCATATAGGGCAATAGAACTCTCTTGTAGGGCAATGAATACTCTCATGTAGGGCAATATGAACTCTCTTGTAAGGCAATAAGATCTCTCCCAGGGTAATAGCATCATCAAAGGCTTTGTCCACTTGGGTAAGGTAGAAATCTGTCACAGGACAATAAATTCTCTGATATCTTGATAGGGCAATAGGAACTCTCTCAGGGCAATATCTTCATTACAGGTTTGTAAGGTGGGGTGAGGTAGGAACTTGCTCACAGGGCAATAAATACACATCGGACAATAAATATAAATTTCATAGGGAAATGGGAACTTTCTTATAAGGGCAATAATCATTCATAAGGCATAGGGCAGTATTTAAGAACTGTCACACTGGGCATAAAAAACTCTCTCATAAAACTTAAACATATTTTCACATAAACATTAACAACAAGAAAAAGACACTCTTTCTCTTTGGATAAATCATGCTAGCTGTACTAGTTATCACTCATTTTTGTTAGATTTACATGAATATATATTCATTAAATACAAAAATCTCTTAAAGGAAAATGCATGTCTACAGGTAGCTACAATAATGTAGCCCTATCATTTTTTCCCTGTTAGAAAACATCAGATTATAATAAGAATGGGAGAGGGCAACATTATGGCAGCTAGTATAAAGGGTTTTTAATTTTACACAGAGCCCTCTTAGTCAGTAATCCCCATGTGGTCATTATACATTAACACACTGTCTGACCTTCTCAGGGATTATACACATTGTCATTATACAGAATCTATCCACTGACACTAGGACTTGTTTGATAAGTAAGCATGGTGAGGGTATCATATTTAAAATATAATGACTAATACACATGGTATGATTATAGTGCCATATGTACTGGAATGTGTTTACTGTAAATGCATATGTATACTTAATTACTTAGAGAGATCCTCCACAAATATTAGAATTTATATAATATATGATAAAGGATGCTGTATGTCAGCTGTGAGAAGAGAATGGTTTCAGACTTGTATGTTCTACGTTAGATCCATTGTCTGATAGTTCAGACATAACACAGACAGAACACAGAATGTGACGGAATCAAGTCTCCCCCTCTCCAGTCCAAAATCTTCATGTTTATTAAGTAGGCTCACTGCAATTTAGAGTAGGAATTATTCATAAAAGAAAAGCTATAAAAGGTGACACTGTATGCATTCATTGCATGTTGTATATTTTATATTTCTGACAGTTTGTTGAAGGGAAGTGAACCTGGTAAACTTTAAGACAGCGATATTTATAATTAACAGGATTTCCAGTGAAAGTAGATTTTAAGTTAACAATATAAAAACCCACAGGAACTTGTTCTAGGTTCAGTTTTCTGTAAAGTACAGCCCATGTCCTGCTTTTTGTATCCATCTCTCAAATATTTAGCAGATGCATGACTCTTCTCATGGTGAAATGAACAAGTCTGTTACAAAGATAGACATGCGTCAACACATTTAATGTTGTTAAAGGGAGTAAGATTTATATAGCTGTCATGTACAGAGACTTTTTAGCTCTATTAATCTCTCATTTTACAAGTTTTAACATGGCTAGCAAACATACACTAGTCATGTTCTAGTACATATCACGGCAAAAAACAAAAACTGTACCAACTGCCCATAGATGATGCAATGGCAACATGTCCTTTTAAATGATAGCAAGAATTTTTGACAAATCAAACAATATTTATGAAAAGTCTATTTATATTTCTCAGTTAACGATGTGACCCACTTGTTCTTTTATCACTGTGAACTGTATTAAACTATTTGTCAAGAAGATCAGAAAAAAAATTGAAAGGAAATATCAAAGCTGCCTTTTAAACTTTGTTGTAAGATTAAACACACAATAAACTGAGGCATTAATTTAGACAGATAACTTGTTAGAAAGTTGGGAGTTAAACTGCTTTGTCAGATTGAATCACAAACTACATCGCACAAACTTAACCTATACATGACTATTGCTGAAGGTGTATATATACATTGACAACTTCATTATAAAACAGCTGTAAGTTTATTGATCGTCCTTAACATGGTAGAACAGTAGAAATCTGATTTTATATTCTCTTTTCTCCTGTCTCTGATTCTGATTTACCTGACAATGAATGAGGGGGGATGAGAAATTCAGTATTAATATATGAACTATGAATAGACCCTCCTTTTATCAAGACTTTGTAGACAAAATCGGTAGCAAACATACATCATGATCAGTGGAGAATCTGTTAACTGCTATATTTCAAATTTTGTACCATTCACAAATATCCCAACATCTTCAATGCATTTCAAATTTAATCACACAATAGTTATTATTCTTTAAATATTTCATAAACTAACATTGTCTTTATCTTGTTTTTTTTACTGATTTAGGTGAATATGAATACTTTGTGGACCCTTTTGTAAACACCGAGACTAACATTGGAAAAATCAGTGTAGCCTTTTACCAGGGACTGTTTGCTTATAACGGATGGTGAGTCTGTTCTTACTTATTGATATAATATATACACAAATATGTTATGGAATAATATGTTAAAGTAAAAATGATATCTGTAATAGGACATTCAACACAGCTTAATTAATTAAGGTTCTCCTTAAATTAAGTAAAGGTGTACCTAATAGTTCTTTGCCAGGATCTTTAAAATTTTAATTCATTATTTAATGTCGCAACAAAAACTGATTACAAGCCAGACATTGTGGTAATGAAACATATTCAAAAGCCAGGAAATACGACCTAGAAGAGGATCTTTCTGCAAAGTAATAATGATGATTATAAATACAAGGCCAGAAATGCCATGATATACCACCTCCCTTTAGAAGTTGTGTAGACTACTTATGTGTTATGTTGATCAGATTAAGCTGGTACATGTACATATTGTGTATATTTAGCAAAATAAGCATATAAAAAGACCCAGTGAAGTAGAATTTTGTCCTTGCTGGTCAGGGAATGATTGGTCACTGACTGGGATGATGAATGGGTCACCACTGGAGGTTCCCCAGCCTTGACCTGAGGACATTAGATTGATTTCTACATCAAGCAGTGGGGATCTGTTATCCTCTTGACGAATGCACTTTTAGGAGTCAAGAGCTACATAGGGAACACTTTATAGAACTGCGCTGTAGATCTGCTTCATATAGGAGACCTTATAGAACTGCACTGTAGACTGCTATATAGGGAACACTTATAGAACTGCGCTGTAGATCTGCTTCATATAGGAGACCTTATAGAACTGCACTGTAGACTCTCTGTCAAGGCTGCACTGTGAACTCTTCCTGTTGTTATCCTAGCCTTAGCTGACCTTACAGAGGCATTATCAAGGGAATTGTTCTACTTTTGATGTGCGAACCATTACTAATCTCTCTCTCTCAAGTTGTTCTTGTTCTTGGATAAAAATTAATATCAACATAAAATCAATCATAAAATCAGTCAAAGTCTTATTCTGAAGTCTTGTCTTATAAAGTGATCGAGGGTTTGCTAAAGGGATAGCATTTTCCTAATTTATCTCAAGGGAACAACATATTTGATAGAAATCAATTAAATCTCCTAACATGCCTTAGAAGAACTATAGATTCTTGTAATCAATGAATAAATCAGAAGGCTTTTATTGTGGGGATGCAGTAGAGAATTTGCATCAGATTTTGTAGCATGCCCTTGTAGAAATGGGTGTGACATAATGACTTTGTTATTGTACGTCATAATCTCTGTTTATTGTGTATTTGTTGTGAAAAATTGCATCATTTGATAGGATGGTCTATGAAAATTAATTGCATCATATAATCAATATTATCTTTTCAGCTTTGATAATATTCCTATGCAGTATTTTTATTAATAAGCATTAGAAAATCTGGCAATATGCAGAACTGATTTGCATTGTTATTAAACAAGTTGGACATTTTGTCATTGCATAATGTGTCAATGAATCGGTCCCAGTCCTGGTAGTATGGAGTGGTTCCAATATTTACACATTCAAAATAATTCTGAATTAACACAGATTACTATTTTGGCACAGGATCAGACCACTGCATTCTGTTATCTTGATATAACCCTATTTCTTTAGACAGAATATCTATTATCATTACATAAAGTGTGTATTTTTTTAGACAAATATTTGACCCACTTGGCAAACAACTAGATAGACATGATAAATTTCTTAATTGTTGTTGTTAAATTAAGTAAAGGGATTTACCCCTCCCCTCCAAATAATCTTGCTTCTTCCTCGGTTCTTGAGATGCAGATTATCATCTATGTTGTACATTTACATTAAGCTAAACTGTCAACCATTTCATATCTTGGAAGCGACATTGACAAAATATGATATAAAGAGAATGCAGTGCCATAATGAAAACATTCCAAATTCAGTTTTAATTGTTGACAATCCAGAGAGGACTGGGATGAATATAAAACTGTACAGATGTTTCCAGTCATTTCACCTTCACTGATGTCCCTGATGGCAGGTGTTCACCGGAGTTGTTGATAGGTTATGACAAAATTTCTGACATCACATGCTGATCCTGATCATACTGTTCCCACCTGGTGTCTGTTTGCTATTTGCCCCCCCCCCCCCAACCAAGTTTCACTGAAAATGGAGGATATCATATTCATACATTCTATCTGTCTGTAATACTTTCTTGACAAAAATTCAAAGATCAAGGTCAAAATCCTCATAGCTTCTGTCAATGCATAACACTTTTAATTTAGATCTAGAGGGTTGTTTCAAAAAGCATAACTCTCTATAGGAAGACCTTTCATGATTTTGCGGTCAAAGATTAAAGTTAAAAATATCCAACCTGAAAAGAGCCTTAAAAAGAACATTCTTCAAAAAATTATAAGGTCAATGTAAAATTTCATACATTCTGTACATGTGCAACACTTTAGTTTCTGGTTGATATCTTCTAGTCTTTGAAATTTTCACTCCCTATGGTCTGAAGAAAACTTTTATTGCTGTTGAGGTCAAAATGCCAATGATCAAGATAAGGAATTCCTACATGCAAAAAATTGTTTCCAGATGGTATCTTTAATTCTCTTAAAGCCTTTTCAATGAAAGTGTGCATTGTAACTTACAGTGAATGAAAGAGATCCCATTGATTTAAGGTCAAAGGGTCAAGGTCAGAATTTTTCTCCATCTGCATATTTTTTCAATTCCTTTACTCTCATTTTTCCTTTAAGGAGGGACAGAAATTTTCTGATTTACTTATCAGAATTGATTATTAAAGATTTTATTTTGTTCTTTGTTTTTTTACAGGAACTATTTGAACTATGTAATAGAGGAACTCAAAGATCCTTACAAGTAAGTAGTGCTATCTGTACACATTACATATCACGTATTGAAATGTCGTATACAAAAATCAGAAGAATTTTCGGCAAAATAAAGAAACTCTCTTCCCAAGCCATAGATCAGGTGAGGAACCTGCGATTGGGAAAGATAGTGATCTAAACTTACTTTGAGTTCATTGGGAAAATGTGGTCCAAATTTGAATTTGGTTATCATGGTTATAAATATAAAGGATCTCCCATGATTTGTGGTTGGAATTTGAATTTTCTTTTCCTTGAAATACTTGCTAAGGTTAGATAGTTATCCTAATGGTAAGGTGTTTTACAGTGTGAGATATTCGTTCTTGTAATCCACTCCAAGGTTAGAAGTAATATCAGGGCTCTCACACCATTTTTTGGGACTGGGGCTGGGGCTGTTCAAATTGGGAAAATGATCGTCATTTTGGGAAAAGTTAGATAACCAAAATTCATTTTAAAATATACTCATATTTTGCTTTTCTAGCATTTTGTCATCAATTAAACTCTGGTTTTGAATAAACAGTTAAACAGAACAAACATGGGTATGTAGGCTATTTATGAAAGTACATTAGCTTTGTCATTACTATCTTTGAGTGTTGATATTGCGGTTATATGTCTTTCTGAGTGACAGTCGCTAGTCACATAATCCCGAATTTCCTTGATCACATGGACAACTTTGCTTACCAATACAACGCGAGACTGAACATGCTGAAACGTGGGTATGTTTCTAGGTGCAGCTTACTAATTTTTAAATGAAATGTCTATTTTTGAAACCAAAATGATGTTTTTTGTCGAAACTACATGACAAGATACTCTGCACTCATAGTTAGTACACATTTTTGTAAAAACAATTACCTGGTTCCCCAAACCAGTTTACGAATGCATTTGGCACGAACTAAAAAAATAGTAATACAGTTTCGCTTTCATTTGCAAGTGTGTTTTGTTTGGGTTTTTTTTGCGATTAAGTTTCATGGACTTTTATTTTTTAATTAATATTTTGCTATGGAAATTGGGAAATTTACACCTTTCTTTTGGGAAAAAAAGGTACCATTTTTGCATTGGGAACGGGGCCGAATATCGGCCCCAAATTTAGAGAATCGAGAGCCCTGAATATAAAGTTCAGAATAGCCCAGATATAAGAAGACAAAGTTTACTTATAGAAAGAAGAGTGCTTTTAGTTTGGAAGAACTAAGAAAAAAAACTTATAATCAGAATTGAGAGTGCTGTATACATGTAGGATGTTTGGGAGTGCAGTAGACTGCGTTGAGTTGGAGACGTATCAAATTAGAAAGCACTTAGAGATCAAATCAGCTGATATTTAATACAAGAGCTGTAGGACATTGACCCCCCCAAATATATCACTTCCCTTGAAGCATGTAATGCTTACTTCTCTGTATTAGTGTGTTTATTTTGTACAAAAGGCTAAATGTTATCATACATTTCATGACAACAAAGCAGCCCAAAAATATGGAGTGTACAATTTGCATTTGCAATGAGTTAAAGCAATACCTGTAGGGTTGTCAGGGTTACTACACTGTGTCAGTGTTATTTTTAAATTAAGAATTGGAATCTCTCTAGGCGCTCACGGTGGGATGTTTTGTCTGGGGGAAGGGTCAAAAGTGTACAGATGCTGAATAAATGATTTGTGGTGAATACTTCGGTTTCATCAGTGTTACAGTAAAACTCATTTATGGTGAACTTGGCTAAGGTGAACAACTTTTTAATTCAGATTATTTTCCAGTGAAAATACAGGGAATTATTCTTACCAATTTTATTTTCACTATTATTTCTAGTGTGAAAATTTCAAATTACATGTATTAAGATTCACAGAGAAAATGTTTCTGTTGGAGCAGAATTATTTGCAAGCATGGACTGGCAATGATAACATGAGGCAAAAAATACATCATATATATGGAACATATTTGGCACTTTTAAGGATATAATAATGAATATAGCAAGGCAGTTGTACAAACTTGATGATGTTCATTTTGATTATTTTACATGTAGTATGCTACAATTATTTTTAGAATTTTTTTCAATTATCATCTTTTCAAGAAGGTATTTTTGTGAATATAGTTTTAAAGAGGTCATCATTGTTTATTTGTTTTCGCTTTTTCTCATTACAGAAACTTGCCCAAGGCCATCTGGTGCTCTATCATCATGGTAACCATTGTGTATGTTTTAGCCAATATTGCCTACTTCACAACAGTTACTCCCCCTGAAATCCTAGGTGGCGCTGCAGTAGCAGTGGTAAGCCATTTGAAAATAATTGTATGAAGAAATATCTAATAAAAGAACAAAGTCTATTTTAAAATGTATTTAATGTGATTTGGTACATAATTGCTTGTAGCATGTCACTTACATTTATTTTTTACTACATTAAACATTACTTTAACATAATTCTGAGATAACTCGTTATTTTATTGTCAGGGTAGCGTGTTGTGTTTATATACATAACTTTTCATTACCGGGTTCTGCCATATGTTAATTTGTAGTTCATTGAGGATCTGGGTAATGTAAACAAGATAAGTCATAAAACTACACAACCTGATGTTCCTGTAGTGATGACGTAACAGGAAAAGCTCTCCTAATGATAATTATAACTCCATTGTAGATGTTTTCTGAGAGACTCTATGGAATCATGTGGTGGATCATGCCTGTTTTTGTGTCACTCTCCACTTTCGGAGGTGTGAACGGTATCCTCTTCACGTCGGCCAGGTAAAGCAAAAAAAAAAAAAAAAATAGGTATGACAACTTGTACTTGAATTAAATGACTTTTAATGTGATTTTTTTTATGAGAAGCTAAGATATGGGCTTATGAAAATGGCAGTTCAATATCTTTGAAAAGATTTGTGCTGGTAGAGACCCACTTTCACATGATGCTTGTAATTTCTGAATAAATCCTGTCAATTGAAGACATGCTATAGCTGCCATTGTTTGGTGGTTTACAGGTTGTTTTTCGTCGGAGGACGCGAGGGACACATGCCAAAAGTTCTCAGCTATGTATCGGTCAAACATCTCACCCCCATGCCTGCTGTTCTCTTCATGGTAAGTGATTGATGGTATATCTTAGAGCTGTGAAGCTGGCCAGTATATAATGTCTTCTATGTTTCCTTTGGCATGATGATAAGTGAATTCTTGCTAGCATAAAGAATTTTTCCAACAGATGTATTATATACCTTTAAATGTATTATACAATGTCAGAATTCGATCCACACAAATTATAATTGGTGTAAAGCTTATAACAGCATGTTAGTGCAGGATAAGACATTGATCTTATTTATTGTAGGAAGCCCTGGAATGTAAAAATCTTTTAGAACAGCTCTTGAAGATTTACTAAATTGAAAGAATATTTTGACAGATTTAACCTGCTTTTGAAGGTTAATTTTGTATTATTGATTGAATATGACACTTCATTATACCCCCACTCGGAAGGAGGGGGTATACTGTTTTACCCTTGTGTATCTGTCTGTTTAGCTGTGTGTCTGTCCATAACAGATTTTCGTCGCAGCAAATTTTAGCACATTCTTTGCTTAGGCATGCCATACGGTGGGATTCATCTTTGTTCAAATCTGATGTCAACTTCCTGCTTATCTGTGCGTCTGCTCGTAGCTGAACTTGTGTATATTAACATGATATTATATGTATATTCACATCAGAGCAGAGGTATTACTAGTGAGCAGTGGCTCACATACATCTTGTTTTGTGAATTAAGTAGTGTTAAAGTGCATGAGAATGATGCCTCAGGGTGTATGTAATAAAACCGGGGGTAAATCCCCGCACACCCTTCAAGGAACCTGCATAACGAGACCTGTATAACAAGTTTATTTCTCATGTACCCATAAAAATCCTTCAGAGTCTAATCAACTGTGTCTCAATCTATCAATAAGATAACTATGTACTACAATGCATTGTGACGTCATGTTATTTAGTTTTTATCATAAAGAAAGTATGCATTGGGATTTCACATTTTATTTACCCCCGGCTAAGTCAGATGTACGGAAATTTACACCCAACTTTGTTACCCATCAAAGCTCATGTTACAAGCTACATAGGAAATAAATTATTTTGTCTTGTTTCAAAGAAAATTCTTGTTAGTATATGTCAAATCATTGGAGTATGTCATTTTGTTTCAGGGACTGTTCTCATTAGTATACCTGGTATCTTCAGACATGGAGGCCCTTATTAACTACGTCAGCTTTGTTAACTGGCTGGCCATTGGATTATCGGTTGCCACGCTCCTTTATTTCAGAAAAACGAGGCCCGACGCCAACAGACCTATCAAGGTACAATCATTTCAAGATAGAAACTCATTATTTCAGTTTGCATTTGAATGAATTTTATGTGTAAATGAATGATCAAGTGAACTATTTTATGATATGGCAGTTTGTTTTCATAAATATTTAAGTATGCATACATAGGGGTGAAACGATACACGGTTCGATACGTATCGTAAAAAGTGGTCTCGGTTTGGTTATTTTCGATACGATACATTTTGATAGAAGGAAACAAATTCAACTGTTGTTTTATGCTTCATTTTACTTAATCTAGTCAAATAATTTATGTGCAAAATGAATAAAATAAATCAATTTAATTGATTTGACTGTTAAAAATTATTTTACAAACTTTAAGTCCACAAAAATTTACGTTTTTGAACCAATTATACGGAGGAGCATGTTTAGACCTTATGCCAAACCCGACTGAATGACGATCCTGACTGAAAAAGGAACCAAACCGAAAGTAGAGATTTTGTACCGTGTATCGAACCGTTAAAAAATACCGCGGTGAATCGATACCGCGGTGAACGGTTTCACTCCTATGCATACAATGAATATGGTCTCTGATCTGGTGCAGTGTTATAGTTGGAGCAGTGATGTGTTTCAAATGTGTATTCTTAGTAACAAGACATTGCTTTAGTTAACAACACCTTGGGCCTTTTAATCTTGACCATGGAGTTTGACCCACTTTTGTTTAAAAAAAAAAATTGAAGCTTTAAGTTTGGCCATAACTTTTGAACAGTTTGTGCTAAGTTTCTAACTTAACATTAGTATTTCTTTTGACAAAACCTTCCTTTTTGGCACCAACAATTCTTAAAATTTTTTTTCTTGCCCTTTTCTTGATTAAAAATTTTGCCCATAAATACAGACTTAAGGACCGTAAGTTAAGGTCCTATAAAAAACCTATATATCCCTCTTTTATATTTACAGGTAGCCCTGGTGTGGCCTATTATCTACTGCCTGGTAACGATCATGCTGGTCGTTATACCTTTCACAACCATTCCGACAGAAACAGGTATGCAGCCTTCTTATTTAAACTTTCCATTGCAAAACCTTTTCTCAGCAAGTCAATGTTTTCAGCCAATCAAAGAAAGACTTGTGAGAATAATTGTCAATGCTAGTGTCAATCTTTAACTAAAATTTAATTAATTTATCATTAGTTTAATACATATATTTTAGTAATAATTAGTTTTGTTTTCATTGCTGTAATAATCATATTTTAGGTATAGGATGTGCTATTATTGCTGTGTTTGTATATTTTAGGTATAGGAAATGCTATCATTGCTATGTTTCTATTTGTTAGGTATAGGATATGCTATTATTGCTATGTTATCTATATTTTAGGTATAGGATGTGCTATCATTACAGTAGAACTCGGTTAAAGCGAAGTCGTTGGGACCTGTGAATTTAATTCCCTATATCCGTAATTCGTTATATCCATATAACGAATTTGTATAATCATATATAGCGAATTCGCAATATGCATGTTTTCCTTCAAGTATTACTACCAAATATGTTACGGTAGTAAGTATTACAAAATATACCTTAGATAACTAAGGTTTTGTTATGAATTGAATTTTATATACAAAAGCTAAAAGAAAATAAAATCAGTTCAATCTATCAAATTTTGAGATCTTTGAAAGTTCGTTATAAAAGATGTAAATTTCATTATATTTAACCTTAAAGGGACTCAAAATCAGTTCGCTATATTCGTAAATTCGTTATATCCGAGTTCGTTATAACCGTAAAAATTTACAAAGATTTGTTAAGAATTTTGCCGGGGACCTAGAAAAACTTCGCTATATCCGTGAATTCGTTATATCCATGTTCGCACTAAACGAGTTTTACTGTACTATGTTTCTATATTTTAGGTGTAGGATGTGCTATCATTACTATGTTTCTATATTTTAGGTATAGGATGTGCTATCATTACTATGTTATCTATATTTCAGGTATAGGATGTGCAATCATTGCTATGTTTTTTATATATTTTAGGTATAGGATGTGCTATCTCTGCTATGTTTCTATATTTTAGGTATAGGATGTGCTATCATTACTATGTTATCTATATTTCAGGTATAGGATGTGCTATCATTGCTATGTTTTTTATATATTTTAGGTATAGGATGTGCTATCACTGCTATGTTTCTATATTTTAGGTATAGGATGTGCTATCATTGCTATGTTATCTATATTTTAGGTATAGGATGTGCTATTAATGCTATGTTTCTATATTTTAGCTATAGGATGTGCTATCACTGCTATGTTTCTATATTTTAGGTATAGGATGTGCTATCAGTGCTATGTTTCTATATTTTAGGTATAGGATGTGCTATCATTGCCACTGGTGTTCCTGTGTATGTTTTATTTATCTACTGGACTAACAAACCCAAGGATTTCAACAGATTTATAGGTAAGTACCACAAACTAATTAGGCCATTTTAAACATTGTATACTCTACGTATACAGTATGGCCTATCATTATATACTGATTTTGAATTAAGATAATTTATGAACAAAACCAGATTTTATTGATAGCCTCAGGTAGTAGCTTTATAGTTTAGCAATAATTTTTTTTTCTTCTCAGAATCCTGTGAATTTTTGAAATATCAATATTAGCAGCATGTATTAAAGACAATAGCAACACTTCATTTAATACTCTCTATACAAAATTATTTGAAGCATTAAATAGGATAATGCTTAACTTTATGTGGATGGAAATTTTGCATGTTTGTAGTTATACAAGAGGGATATGGTAGAAAGGATATAATTTGGGTTAATTAATCAGAATGCTTGTAAAACGTCCTATTAAAATTACATCTTTTTTTTCAATTTGTTTATTTTATCATAGTACTTCACTGCCATATATACCAGTGATGTTGGTAAACATGTCAGCGTTTTTCTTACAGGAATTCATTGAGTTTGACAGAGAGTAATTTTGTTATGCGCTGACATTTTTTACAGAGAGTAATAATGTTATACGGTGCTATTTTTTACAGAGAAATTTGAGGTGTTGACACAGAAGTTATTAATAGTGATACCTGAGGAGGAGAAACAGGCTCAGGATTGATCTGTAAATCAAAGCTTGGTTTCTTAGCTTGTTAACCTGTGTTTTGATGTTCAAATGAGCCAAGGCCCAGTGGGCTTTCCTGATCAAAATTTGTCCTTGTTTGTCTATCTGTTCCCATTTTATTCTTATCATCGCTTTAAAAAAAAAATTAAAAAAAAAAAAGAAGAAAAAAGCTATCCATGGGGAGATAATTCAGAAATTTAAAAACAGCAAGTAGGTACTTATAGAAAAAAAACCTTGTCAAAAATAACCTAAATGATAGCTTTCTTATTAAGTGTTGATTTATTTCCTAAAGCCCAATATGGGGTGTCTGGATTTGTCAGAATATAAGGTTAAACAATTCAGTAAAAAAAAAAAAATTATGGCTGCAATAACAAATATTCCATAAAATATAAAATGTTTAATTTACAACATAATACTATAAAGCTTTTTGAATATCAGTAAACAGTTACTGTAGAAGTAGTTTTTTCCGCATGGTATTAATTTACGCTATGTACGCGGTCACAAATTTTCCGCGGAAATTTGTCCAATCAAACTTAATACAAATGTAAAGCATATAAGGAGAGTCTTAAGATACCGCGTAATTTTCTACCAGCGGATTGAACAGAAATAGAGATTACGCGGAATTAAGACCCCGTGGAAAAAAGTACGTCTAAAGTATATAAAACTCTACTAAAATGTGAGAAAGCTATGATCTTTAGACAAACAGCTGGCTAATATTTTAAGAATTATTTAGGTCATGACCTATACAATGTATCAAATTCTGTGCCAATCTGGGGACAGGACTGACCTAACCCCCCCTCCCCCCCCCCCCCCCCCCCCAAATATGACTCAGGTGAGCCTTGAAACCCAGAGGCCTAGGCCTCTTGTTGAGTGTTATTTTCTGCTTGTTTATACTGGTTGAAATATATTAAGTCTGAGTTATGAAGTTGTGCATATTCTGCATATTTAATAATAATTGGCTTTGAAAATTTCTTACCAAATTTGTACATGCACTTGATCATATTGTGGTTATTTGTTCAAGGAAGGTCATAAGGAAAATCAAATGTATGGAAAGTTGTAGTATTGAAATATAATTTGTAAGATTTTGTTGTGTTTACCATTGTTATTAAGTAATAAACATATATAATGGGAGGGTAGGGGCTCCCATAGTTAAAATTCCTTTGAGAATTTAAAAGATAGAGAAGGGGGCTGCAGACAGGAATTTTATAAAAGTAGATTGAAGTTTCATCATAGCAGATCATTTTCATGATTTTAGAGATGGATTTTTTTTTATGATCAAGTGCATGCACATAAAATTAGAAGTAGATTTAAGTCTAAATTTTAACATTAAGCTCAAAATAATACATTTAAAAAGTTTCTCTATATTTTCTTTTATCTTTTATGGCATATTGACAAATTTAATGTCATTTTAAAGCCTTCAGTTACGAATGCTTATCATCAAGATCATATTTCTCAATCATCTCAATCAGAAAGAAATTAATTTACTGCTGATTTACTGGAATAACACTTATTTCAATGATAATTATATAAGACACTGCATCTTGTCCACTGGTGTTTTATTTTGAGGGGATTAGTTTACGGTATGTTAAAGTATTACAACATAAATTTAAAGTTAGTCAAATTTTAAGGCATTTAATCAAAATCTCAAACATAGGTTACCTTTTAGTCATAACTGAGACAATGTTTTAAAGTAGAGTAGAAACAGTTTGGATTGTTCATCTGATAGGTGACCATGGAGTTTGAATTAGTAATTTTTGAACAAGTTACATTTAGGTTGTATGTTCTTTTTTGTTGCTAGATTGCACTTCATGATTATCTGTGTTGCTTGCTTGCATGCTTGACAAAGGGGTATACCTGGTTACATTGTATTTACTTTAGCTTCATGCATAATTTGGTATTGCTTGTGTGTGAAAGCATTTTTGTCATAGACAGCCAGTTATAATCATTGTCCCTTTATTGTATACAGGTGACCAACAGGAAGTAGACAACCCAGATATTTGTGCTAAAATATCATAATGATCCTTTTTAGCTCACCTGAGCCGAAGGCTCAAGTGAGCTTTTCTGATCACATTTTGTCCGTCGTCCGTCCGTCTGTCCGTCCGTCTGTCCGTCTGTCTGTCTGTCCGTCTGTAAACTTTTCACATTTTCGACTTCTTCTCAAGAACCACTGGGCCAATTTTGATCAAACTTGGTACAAAGCATCCTTAGGTGAAGGGGAATTTAAATTGTTAAAATGAAGGGACATATCCCCTCGCAAGGGGAGATAATCAAGAAAAGACAAAAATAGGGTTGGGTCATTAAAAAATCTTCTTCTTAAGAACCACTGGGCCAGTAAAGCTGAAACTTATGTGGAAGCATCCTGGGGTAGTGTAGATTCTAAATTGTTCAAATCATGACCCCCGGGGGAAGGGCGGGGCCACAATGGGGAATCAAAGTTTTATATAGAAATATGTAGAAAAAATCTTTGAAAATCTTCTTCTCAAGAACCACTGGGCCAGAAAAGCTGAAACTTATGTGGAAGCATCCTGGTATAGTGTAGATTCTAAATTGTTCAAATAATGACCCCCGGGGAAGGGCGGGGCCAAAATGGGGAATCAAAGTTTTATATAGAAATATATAGGAAAAATCTTTGAAAATCTTCTTCTCAAGAACCACTGGGCCAGAAAAGCTGAAACTTATGTGGAAGCATCCTGGTATAATGTAGATTCTAAATTGTTCAAATAATGACCTCCGGGGGAAGGGCGGGGCCACAATGGGGAATCAAAGTTTTATATAGAAATATATAGGAAAAATCTTTGAAAATCTTCTCAAGAACCAGTGGGCCAGAAAAA